TGGGCGTATCTTTCATATTCATAGCCGCTGGGCATATCTACCAAATTTTATAGCCGCTGGGCACAATTATTTACTTTCGAAAATAATCACAGTTGATTCGCATAAAATCTGAAAATGCAAAAAATCGCCAGAAAATTGGAAGCTACGCAATCCCTGCTGAAAAACTTCTCCACCAACATACGGAAAACGGCAAAAAGCAAGCAAACAAAAGGTTTCTTCACTGCCAGAAAGAATCTCTTGGAAAGTTACTGGACGCAGTACAAGGAAGCTCGAGAAGATTTGTTGGCCAATATTTATGACGGTGCAAAGGTGGAAGAAGTGAGTGACACAATTAAAGCGTTAGTTAGCGAAGACAGTTACATGGAAATTGAAATAATTTATTCGGAAATGATGGGAGAGCTAATCGATGAGTTAGAAAGCACTGAAGTTATAGAATCTCCAGGTAATAACGAAACTGTAATTAAAGGTGTGTCAAGCATGGAACTGACGTCTAATTTACCACGTATTAAAATTCCGTCGTTTGATGGTAATTATCTGCACTGGTACGCATTTAAGGATTTATTCACGTCAGTTGTATCAAATAACGTTGCATTGTCTAATACACAGAAACTTCAATATTTAAAAGATGCGTTAGTGTTGGACGCTCAACACGCCCTAGACAACATTACTACAACAGATGCACATTGGGCAGTAGCATGGAGTTTACTCGTCCGCAAGTATGAGAACAAGAGGATCATTCTTAATGCGTATTTAAAACAAATTGTTAATTTAACAACGGTGTCTGATGGTTTACCTAATAGTTTACGCTTGTTATGTGACACCATCACGTCAGCTGTGCGTGCGTTAGAGCAATTGGGTCGTCCAGTGCAGCATTGGGACGATTGGTTGGTCTTTACCCTTCTCCAAAAATTAGACACGAAAACACGCTCAGCTTGGGAGCTGTCAACAACCAGTTTAGAACAAATTCCAATGTTTGAGGAGCTGGTCAATTTCCTAGAAAATCGAATACATTCGCTGGAGGTAGTTAATAGCATGACCGATAACTCTAATCAGGAGAAAAAGTTTGTAACACCTATCAGAACAAAGGGGTTCGTGAAAAGCCATCATACCACTGTTCAACAATGCGTGCATTGTCAAGGTAAGCATTTACTGGCATATTGCGCAGAATTTCGGCAAATGACTGGGACAAAGAGATATGAGGTAGTCAGATCTGCAAGATTGTGTTTCAATTGTTTGAGAACGGGACACATGGGTCATAATTGTCCATCGAAATATCGGTGTCTGCGATGTAATGCAGCGCATCATACATTACTACATGACCATAGTGGAAGTGGTGGAGAAACTAATTACTCAAATATACCGGAAAAGACCACTGAAGCGACTAAGAAATACGCTGTCACATCAAATAATACATACATTTCCAGTGCTAATCAAGGTGCTCGAACTTTACATCTACAGACTGTTTTAATTGGCACTGCATTGATAGAGGTAAGGAGTCCTTCTGGTCAGAAGCTTATTGTGCGAGCTCTTTTGGATAGCGCGTCGGAAGCAACGTTTGTCAGCGAATTCATCGTGCAGCGGTTAAAACTGGACAAAACAAATGTCATAGTGCCGGTGAGTGGTGCAAATGGTGAAAGGGTCGCCAATTCAAGAGGAATGGTTTCATTTACAATCCATTCGTTAAAATCCGATTTCAACATGAATTGTGTTGCACTAATACTTCCACGAGTGGGTAGCGTTACCCCAACCATTCCCATACCGAAAGAAGCGCTTGGTGAGTTCATGAATTTAGATTTAGCTGATCCTCAATTACAGGTTCCGGGGGCAGTCGATATGATTTTGAGCGCTTCAGATTATGCTGCTATTGTCTATGAGCGACTAAAACGGCATCCAACTAACAATATTGTTGCCCAATATACGCAACTCGGTTGGGTAATTTTTGGTGGACTGTCGCGACGAAAGGCTATTTCAGTGAAAGGACAAGTTAATTGCTGTCATACTCGGGCAACATTGCACGAAATGCTACATAAATTTTGGGAATTGGAAGAAATAACAAACCACGTTCCGTTAACAAAAGATGAAATGTACTGTGAAGATTTTTTTGAGCGTACAACTGTACGCAACGCAACGGGTCGATATGTAGTTAGACTACCAATCAAGCAGAAAGCTGATTTGGCAACACTTAAGTCAAGTAAACTAAATGCACTTGCATTATTAAACAGCACGTTACAGCGATTAACCCGAGATCCGGATATGTACAAACTCTACCAAGATTTCATGGACGAATATCAGACCTGTGGCCATATGGAAGTGGTGCCACACTCGTATGATGTAGCTTCAACATGTTATCTTCCTCACCATGGTGTCTATAAAGCATCGAGTTCTACAACGAAGCTTCGCGTAGTCTTCAATGCTTCTAATAAATGTTTGAGCGGAATATCGCTTAATGATTGTCTGCATATAGGTCCCAGATTACAAAATGATCTATCAAATATCATCTTGCAATGGCGGCATTACCCTATAGTGTTTACAGGAGATATCGAGAAAATGTACAGGCAAATTCTTGTTGATAGCAAAGATGTGGATTTGCAACGAATAATGTGGCGCGTTCGACACGGGGACGCCCCTACAACGTTCCGGTTGCTCACTGTAACATATGGGACTAATTGTGCTCCATATCTTGCCATCAAAGTATTGCGTACTCTGGCAAAAGAGGAGCAAACTCGTTTTCCACGGGCAGCTGAATCGATTCTAAATGAATTTTACATTGATGACGTACTATCAGGTGGAGACACTCCAATCGAAGCTGCAGAAAAATTGCACGAACTTCAGGAGCTTCTAGCAACTGCAGGCTTCACTTTACGTAAATTTAATTCGAATTCAAATGACGTTTTAAGCACTCTGACTGCGGACGTAAAAGCTCACGCCGACGATGTGGAAATTAACACCGAGTATAAAACTAAGACACTTGGTCTTACTTGGTATACAAAATCCGACAGTTTTGGTTACAACGTCAATGTAACTTGTGACAACCATCATTACACAAAACGACTAATGTTGTCTGACATATCGAAGTTATTTGATCCACTTGTGTTCTTGGCTCCGGTTATCATTCGAGGAAAGATGTTTCTGCAACAACTCTGGCGTACTGGATCCGATTGGGATGATCCCTTGTCAATAGAGATGGCAAACATTTGGCATAACTTTCGTATTGACTTACAACAATTACATCACATTCGAATCCCACGTTGGATAAACACCACTTCGACAAGTGCAATTGAATTACACGCATTTGGTGATTCATCAAATCAAGCATATGCGGCTGCAGTATATGCGAAAACAACCATCGGTCCGACCAGTTTTGTAAATTTGCTTATTAGTAAAACTAAGGTAGCCCCGTTGAAAGAAACGTCTATACAACGTTTAGAATTATGTGCAGCATTGCTAGCAGCAAAACTTCTACACAAGGTAAAAGGAACATTTAAGTGTCAACCATCACGCTGTATTTTGTGGACTGATAATACAACCACTCTGTGGTGGATTAGAACTGATCCAGGCAAATTGAAGCAGTTCGTGGCAAACAGAGTGTCACAAATTCAGTCAATGACAAATATTGAAGACGGGAGGTATATTGCAACAAAGGATAATCCGGCTGATTGTGCATCACGAGGCAGTACCGTTTTGCAACTAAAAGATAATCTGATGTGGTGGTATGGACCATCTTGGCTTCGCTTAAATGAGAAAATGTGGCCTAACCACCAAATCAATCATACTCCTGACAGTTTACCTGAGAAAAAAGAGATTAACTCATTAACTACGCAGTTATCAACAGAAGTGTGGGAAATATTTGGACGATATGCTACTCTTGACAAATTACTCCTAGTCGTGGCGCAATGTCTACGTTTTATTCATGCGTGTCAAAAAAGGATGCGTCGAGATGAAAGTTTCTGCACTTGGCAAGAACGTTATACGGCTCTTAAAAAATTAGTAACAATTGTACAAAGGACCGAGTTTACCAACGATTATGCTGCTTTACGGAAAGGCAATCCAATTAACAAATCAAGTAAATTGTTTAAATTGAATCCGAAGCTTGATTCCGACGGAATTATGCGTCTAAATGGAAGACTGCAAAATGCGAATATTCCTTCAGATGAACGATGTCCAATGATATTACCCAGACGTCATGATTTTACTACGTTGATTATTAATCAAGCTCATAGTCGAACATTACATGGCGGAACTCAAACAACATTAGCATATGTGCGACGGCAATTTTGGGTTATTGAAGGAAGATCCGCTGTGAAGAGAGTGATTAACAAATGCATTACATGTTTTCGTCAAGCCTGTCGACCGCAAGCACAACTTATGGGTAACTTACCTCCAGCACGGTGTAATATATCACAGCCATTCATGCACACGGGCGTGGATTATGCTGGTCCATTTAATGTGAGAGCGACAAGAGGGAGAGGCCATCGTACTTACAAGGGGTATGTGGCTCTATTTATATGTTTTATTACACGAGCTATTCATTTGGAACTTGTGAGTGATATGACATCTGAAACATTTCTAGCAGCGTTAAAGCGATTTGTATCAGTCCGTGGCATATGCTCAGATATGTACAGCGATCGTGGTACATCCTTTGTCAGTGCTGATGCTTTAATGAAAGATGAAATTAAATTATTTAAAAAACAAATTGAAGCTGGGTCTGTGTTTGCATCAACCGTTGGCATAAATTGGCACTTTATACCACCCGCAGCGCCTCATTTTGGTGGCCTATGGGAGGCAGGAGTAAAAAGCATGAAATTTCATCTTAAGCGTGTAGTAAACACGGCAACTTTAACTTTTGAAGAATTTTACGTTATTAAAACAAGTCGAAAATTGTTTAAATTCGCGGCCGCTTACGGCTCTATCTGATGACCCCACAGACTTATCAGCGTTGACACCAGGACACTTTTTGATTGGACGAGCGCCATCTGCCGTACCTGAACCTAATTTGCTAAATACAAAGATTGGTGTACTATTCCGATGGAAGATGTTAAGCCAGATGTATCAAGACTTTTGGCGCCGTAGGTCCCAAGAATATTTAACACAATTACATGCCAGAAACAAATGGACTAAAAGCCAAACAAATGTCGCAACCGGTCAACTGGTCCTACTTCGAGATGAACGATTGCCTCCAAGCTCCTGGTTGCTTGGCCGCATTATCCAAGTCCATCCTGGCACGGACGGTGCTGTTCGTGTCGTAACCATAAAAACACAGTCCGCCATTGTGAAACGGCCAATTACGAAGATCTCTGTTTTACCAATCGACATTGAAGGACGTCCTGAAGCACACGAGTAATATAGACGCAAGATCCGGTTGTATCTCCACGTCTAGGTGGGAGAAATGTTTAAAATTATCTATATCAATCTGGCAACCACTGTGTGTGGGCTGCTTTTAATGGTTAGCAAGTTTTTTTCATTCTTCTTGTTGTACGAGCATCCGTCGTGTTCGGTTGTGTTTCGTGTTGTGCAGTAAATTTGTTTGAGTTTTGTTCTAATTACATTTAAAAATATGTTTTATATGATAAGTAATATTAGAGATAAATAAATGAAATATTCTTTGAAACTTTAAAGAAAGAAAAAACCGCATTTAACGAACAGTAACAAACAATTTCTGACTATGCATACATCTAAAATATATGCATATATTTTTTTTTTATTTCACTGAGATTAATAAGCTTTTCTGTGCAGTGTTCTCACTGTAATGTATTTGATCGAAGCCTTATTTGCATCTGAATAACTTCTTGCGAATAATACCTGATATTTAGGAACTATATTATGTCAATTAAGTTCCTGTTAATTTCTTTCTCCTTCCTGTCCAACAAAAACAAAGTTTGAACTTTTGAATTTAAGTATTAATATTTTAAAGCAATTATCATAAAATCATGATTTATACTTGAAAATAATACTGATAATAGCATAAATTTTTTTAATTGGTTTTTAATGCGTTACTCTTAATAGCCTTTATAGTCCAAAAATGTAATATGCTTACCCAAAATACACTGATACTCACTAAAAAAACAAATAATTTGGGTTTCAAAGTCTACCGAAACAAAATATGTTCTGTAACTTTAATGGATGATAACGTATGTGCCCCATGAGACACATCTATGTCAACATATTTTTTTTATTCAAAAAAAGGATGCCCAAACACAGAACATAAAAAAGAATATCCTTTCCTCTTGTTTCAAAATTTTTTGAATATTTATTTTGTTGTTGTCGTTGTTGTTGTTGTTTACAGACATGCTGTCTAATGTTGTTTTGACTCCCTTGTCATTTTGCATATTTGCTGCCATACATTGTTCATTTTTTCTTTAATTTTTATTACTTGTAGCTTCCAAAAGCGGAAAACTTTTTAGGAACCTTAACAAACATGAAGCTCCACTTTTGTATTGACTTATTTTTAAAAATAAAATTATTCACATGTTTTGCATAATTCTTATTAGTCATTCTAGTTCTGATTTATGCTTTTATATATGTTATATATATATTACTTGTATTTATAATTACAGCCTTATAAACAATTTTTATATCACTTTAAAAAATTTTGAGTTTTCTGTAAAATTCCACAAAGCATCGTTTCATTCTTTATTAATATTTTATTAATTAAGTAAGTTGATTAAATTAATCAACTTTTAATTTTTAATTTTTAGAAATGTATCTGTACAGTATTTAAATCATTGAAAAATACTCAATACAACTGAACTTGTTACTTTATAGGAAATTTTTCATGAGCATGCTACGCATTTACGCATACTTCGTGACCATCAAAATGCAGGCTCTTTAATATCATCAGAGGTGCCTACAATCATACGTCAAAATCTATTAGCAAATTTTCGGAATGGCAGTCGACATGCACCATATTTTATTTGCGGACCCCACGGAAGCGGTAAGAGTGCTTTAATAGTGGAGTTATATCGACAGGTCACTGAGTGGTTCAGTTCAAAACGAGTACATCGAGTTATACGTTTTGCTGCAGCTACTCCACGTTCAGCCTACAATTTAGAATTATTACGTGTTATATGTCAACAGATTTCTATTATTTTTAATATACCAGAAGGTTACTTACCAAAAGATGCATCCTTCGATCCGAACTATATAAATAATTGGTTCCAAAATTTATTACGACGTATTGAGGATATGAATAATGATGTTTTGTTTCTTTTTATTGATGATTTGCATTTATTAAATCCACTGGATTGCGATATTGTAGCTGCATTATCTTGGTTGCCCACTTCATTGCCATGGAATGTGCAACTTATATGCTCTACAACAACAGCTATAGATCAATTGAAATTCACACCAATGCAACGTGATCGCTTTAGATCGACAGAATTTCTTTTTGATTTAACAGTTGCTGAAAATCGCACTGAATTAAGGAAGCCAATTATGAATAACACAATTTCTGTTAGTGATGATATCGCTTTTGAGCAGTTTTTGGAATCACAATTTGATTATTTTGAGAAATTCTATGGAAAGAAGGGCTTCGGTCGTTTAGCTGCGTACATCACATGCGCTGAATATGGACTGACGGAAACTGAGCTCTTGGAATTATTAATGCCCACCGATGAGCCAGAGGCATTTGTCGAAACCGAACATGGAAACTTTAATTTCTCCACATTCAAAAGGATTCACAATGAAATGAGTAAATATTTAGTCATTTAAGCCTAATTAAGTGTGTAATTGAATTTTATTTAATTTTCTTCTACCGAAGGCTTTCTTTTGCATGACAAAATAATGTCCGGCAAAGTGCTTATACAGTGGCGACACACTTACTGTGCACATTTATCCCAACAGCGATACATGGATGCACAGAGTACACGTGCCATGCATATAGCCATTGCCAATATATTCTTTCAACAAGAAGGGGAGGATGCTGAAGAAGGCAGCAGTGAACAAGAAACAGAAGAAAGTGACAAGCATTCAGGTGAGTTAAATTGGATTAGCAAGTAGTAACAACGATATAGAGTATGTACTTAGAATACTTTTTGTGTCATTATTACTATTTTTATTTTTATTACTGTTCTTTTTGTTGCAATTCCATCTATGTCAACTTATCAACAATGAAAATAAATGTGTTATAGTAGTTAGTCAAAAGGAAAAGGATAACATCTCTACTGGTCGTAAATCATCATCACATCATAATGATGATACTTCAACGTTCTACAATCCAATTGCGGCTGACGTTTCGTATAGCATGCGACATGTTGAAGAGAGTTGGCATCACTTAATGCGTTCCGACGATACAGCCAAGTTCAAGCAAATTGCAGTATGCAACTTTGATTTTTTACTAGCAGCGGTGAGTACAGAACAAAAATAAAGGCTTTAACATACTTCATACATAGACCAGTTAAACTCTGTTATAATAAGATTATATTTATACATTATATAGTGACAAAAAGATAAATAAACTTTTATTTCAAGAGTAATTATCATTAGAAATTTAAATGTGCTGTAAAATGAATCATAATTAAGAAAAATTTCAATAGTAATATAAAACTTCTCATATGAATAAATTTAAATAAATTAGTACTTTAACGTATAATAAATTTAAATCATACATGTAGTCGATATTAAGAAAATTCTATATAATTATTGTCATGCATCATTTTAGTAGGAAAAAAGCGACGTTAGATCCATTAACAGCACCTTTACCTTTAGAACGTATTATATTTTAGAATGAAATATCGATAAATGTATTGATTAACTCGAAATAGGTTCAAAGCTGTGGAGATATAATTGACAGTTCTAGTATAAGAACGTTAAGAGGGTATATGATTTCTATCCACATCAGTATTCGTTGATAAATTATTATATACACTGAATATTTTAAAATTGCAGAACAAATATCACTCAACTACTTTCAGAACAGAACAAAATAAAAGATTAGTTTAAAATTATTCGCATTATTCAAACAAGTATTGGTATGCTGTGTTATAGAACTTTTCTAGACCAAAAAGAAGCTAAATAACCACTGACATAGACATAGAGAGAAAGAATTATAATATTACTAAACTGTGTATCACTGCTTAACAATCGCCAGAGGTCGACCCTTATATCGGTAGGTTTGTTTTCTCAAGTGTCTAACCTATGTATGTAATGAAGCCTAACATAGTTTACTTTACCTAAGCTTCAGATGAGTTCGGTTATCCAAAATAGTTGATTTAATTGGGTTAAATAAAAAATTGAAATAAAAACTTAACAAGTGCTAACAAACTGCACTTAAAATAAAAAAAAAGAAATGTAGGACAAATTGTCTATTAAGAAAAGACGCTTATTATAAACATTATTAGCATTGAAACAATTCTATAATAATTATATATATTTCACATTTATATATATATTCATTTTACTTGTACATAACTTTTACTTGAGCTTGTTTTTATATACTTAAATGACCTAACAAAACATCGTTGTTGTATTAGAGTATGAAGAATTTATTGCCAGTGGCGACAATAATATGTTCAATAGCTATGGATTTCAATTTGAATGCTTCTTAACAGTTTCTTTTTAAACATTAAATTGGAAATGCGGAAAAAAGTTATATTTATATTATTGTAGGCTGTTAGCAGTAACTCGTTGTATCCATTCAGATACCAACTCCTTGTTTTTCTTGTTCCCTTTTTAACTATTGTCAATGTATTTATTTTTTAATTTAAGCTCTTTATTTTGAAAATACATTTTCCACAATATTGTTTTTGAAAAACTACAAATATTTCATGGGGACATTTTTACATTTTCATAATACATCATTTGTATCCTGTCCGCTAACAACAGCAAAAATATGTATTGTTGCTTTGTCTATTTACAATGGATTTTTAAGTTTTTCTTTCCATTATTGGAATTTTGAAAGGACTGTAATTACGCTTGTAAAGAAAAATGTTGTTTGTTATTGTTGAAGATAGTTCGCTCAAGATGGTGTCAATTGTTGCAGTAGAGAAGTACTCTTTAGTACAATATAAAGAAATTCATTATTGTAACAAGCATGCAATTACAATGTCCACTCTTCTTCTTAACAAAATAATGCAATTATTTTGAAATCACAACGTTCTTTGTAATAAAAGTTAAGCACAATCCTGCATCAAATGGGCGCATAGAGACATCGAAAGAAATTGTAGACTTATTTAATATTAATAATAACAGAAGAAAGGATTAATTTTAAATGTTAAGTCATTAAATTAGTTACTTAAATAATAATAATCTATACTATAATCAATGGAGCACCAAGTCACAGGAATACAACAAGCCTTTATCTTCGGATTATAGCTTGGAAAAGTAAATGCGAAAATCAATATGAATTTCGCATAAAAGTCTAAACTGTAAAACATTTCTGAGAGCAATTTCACCTGGTAATGGAATTTATAAATAATTGACACGATTCCAATTGCTCAAGCACGCTGATTTGACCAGTTATTACAGCTATTTTGTATCATTTTTTCCACCGCACAATATGCCAATATAACTAATTTTTTGGACCATTAAGGGTTTAAGTAGTAAACATTTTATATTGATTAGTACTAACAAAACTTACACAGGCCATCTAGGGTCGATTAGTTCATACAAATTTAACATTGGTGGTTTTCAAGTCAAACTATCCAAGTCTATCGACCGATATATCGAAAAATAAACAATATTGAAAATGCAGCATAGCATAGTGGAAAAAGTTGATAAAAAGTTTACTTAAATTCCATGTCAAATTGGAGGATCCAGAATATAGAAATAGTTTTTAATTGTGTATATAATTCTGATATATTCTTCTACTTTATCAAATTATAAATTGGTTTACATATACTTTAATATTAGTATGAGACATTGCTCTGAAAATTATTTTACGGTTGTGTATTAAATAGTATTTTAACTTTTTCAAAGTACAATCCGAAAATAAAGGCCTGTTAAAGTTTGATTAGAAGGTTCTTTTATAATTGTAAAGTATAATTTATAGATTAAAAAGCAAATAATTGTAAATAGAAGAAGTTGCTAAATTATTGACTTAACATTAGCAGTTCTCTTCTCTTTTTATTAATGTCTGAAGCTCTTTAACTCAATAATAACTTAGACGTCTCGGATAATCTACTACGATATATGATCCATTAAATTATAAATCATTCTGATGTATTGTGAATTTTTAAAATTAATGCATATTTTTAAGAAATTATAATGATTTTAGGAGCATGTAAAGCGGTGTTAGCATGAATCTGTTGTTAATGTGTCTTTTAATGCTTACGATTCTTAGGTTTTTGCTTATCACTTTATTATAAATATAGCATAGTGCTTTTAACAAAAGTTATAAAATATTATTCTAATAACTTTTCTTTATGGTATATGAAGAAGCTTTGCAATAAGTCACATATCCACAGAGCAATAAACTATGTACACACCATAACATCATCTGTGACAAGCGATTGCAACAGTAATATTATACGAAGATACCAACACCTCAACCATACACATCAGATTTTTTCAGTCTGATTTTTGTTTAAATGGGAAGTTGGAAAAATGGGTTTTCAGAAGAAAATAGAAATTTCAACCGAATGCATATAGTGTCCCTGCAAATAATGAATATTTTGAGAACCTCAGGTATTGTATTTTTTGAAATTATAAAAAAATGGGATACTATTGTTAGAAGTGCATATTGATGGATATTAAAAGTTAAAAGTAAATAAAAATTTGTGTAGTTTTAATACACTTCAGAAGGAGTGTTACCTTATTTGAGGTACTTATTTACAATATTTACATTCAACTATTCATATGTTCGAACGCGATGTTCAAGTTGTTTATACCATAGGTCAGGTAGCC